GGTGCCAAAAGGTTTTCCTTTAAACAAAGACCATATCAAGTTATTTCAATCAAACTCATATTCCAGATATTCTGAAAGGTGTGTATAGGATGTACTCCTATTTCATTTTCTCTCTGCTTTTCTTTATGTTAGTCCTCTTTTTCCCTTAAACATCCCTAAACTGTTGACCACATCATTACTTCTCTGTGACCATTCTTTTCAATTTACACCTAACAAAACCATGGTCTCTAAGACTCAATGTTCTCTATCAGTTTCCCATTGATCAATTTTAATCTCGATATTCTCTCTCCTTCCTACAACCTATATTCCTAGCCATCAATAATACAAAATACGAAATAAGTGGTTACCCCTTGTAAGAAACTTCTAGATGAACTCAGTAGTGTAGAATACACTGGGAGAAAATTGTGCATATTGTTCTAGGGATCCTTTGGGTTGGGGGCTGATAGATGGAGAGGACCTGGCACATGCTACAGGATCTTGGTCTTATCTCTCCCCTTCACCCAGCATTTTCTCATGTAGTGTGTATGCATACAGGCACTACAGATGAGAGGAAGACACAAGTGTAGAATAATGTCAGATCGTGGTCAGAGTTTAGAGAGACCATCCCTGGGTGGACTTAGGAATGATTAAAGATCATCATAAATACCTTTGCTCTTCCCTTATATATTTCTCCTCATTTTACATCAGTAGCACGAGAGCCTCGAGTGTATATACCCAGCCTCCAGATATGCCCTTTGGCCAGAGTTTGATTCTGATAGCACCATAGACTTTGCCTCTAGAGTCACGTTCAGATGGCTCCCTTGGTTGTAACTGTAAGGCTGCTGTTCAGCTATTCCCTTTTAGCCTGGGATGCGTCACTGTGCTTGCCTAACCTCTATGAGGTGTGGTTTCCACCTCTATAAGATAAGGAAAACTGCCTAAAGTAGCCATCATCACTTGCTGTTGAAGCAGAACAGTCACACTTGTCAAGAAGCGGCACACATATGTGTTAGTGTTTGTTTGTGTCTTGGCTATTGTTTTGTCTGGGAAGTTATGATTAATCTCATCAAGAATCTTCATAAAGCTTGAAATTTCCTTTTGATTGCTTCATCCATTCAAGAATCACATCCTCACTGCCTGCCATCCAAGGCCAATATTTTCTGGTAAAAATTGAATGCTTTTCCAGTGGTCCAATTAGGCCCAGTCTGCCATGTTGTCTGAAGGTCTTTCATCTCACATCTTGGGTCATGTCCTTTGTCTCAGAAAGTATTGGCCTCTGAATTATGAACTCAGAGGAAAGGACATGATAGTTGTCCAAAGACCTCAACTGTTTCAGTGGGACAAGCTTTATCAAAATGGGTTCTTATTGATGTTTTTCTACTGCATGGTCCACGTCTCTCTTTTTCAGCTGACCTCCATATAATGCAGAGTCTCTCATGATGTTGAGCTTCTGTGTGGCTTCAATAGATCCCAACACCATCATATAAAGCACCAAAGCTGAACTTCATGAAACTTTTGAGAGGCAAATCAACTCAAAGAATTCTATCCATGGTCTACGAAGAGGTGTCTTTCTCATTACATAAATTATGTCTCACAAGGAATCCCTCTTTAACTTTACTTTCTCTCCTTGGTCTATTACAGGCCTTGCTTATGGTGCTGGTTCTTGGGTGGGTGTTTGTCCCCATCTACATCAAGGCAGGGGTGAGTATTCACAAGCCTACAAATGAGCAGTCCAGTTGGTTTTCTTCACTAACGTCTTTGTAGTGAAACTCAATACTCAACCTTCTCATGGCCTACTGCTAAGAATATGCAGGTGAAAAAAACCCATCCCTTCATTGGAAGGGCTCAGTGTAGGGTCTGGCCACAGATGGGCAAGAAGTCTGTAAGGCTCTGTGTAATGGCCACTGTGCTTTTCTTTTCCTGGTACAGGAACCTAAATTCAGGACCTTCCATGTGTCTTAAAGGAAGCTCATTAGAAGGAATCAGAAATGATCTGGCATCTTGAGGGACATCACCCTTAGAGGCAGGAAAAAGATCAGACCCAAGAGTGGTAGAGAAACCACACAGAAGCTAAACATCATGAGAGACCTTGTGTTATCTGGAGGTCAGCTTAAAGACAGAGAGCATATGCAGGAAGTGGTAGGAGATAGAGGTGGGTGTGCATGTGTTGGGGAGGGGAGGGGGTGTTCAACTATAATAGCCATGTATTCTGTCTCCCCTGGGAAGTGAGAAGCCCAGGCTTCCAGAAACTCAAGGTATGTGACCAGATTGACATTTTAGGAAGCAATATTCGAATCAGTTGAGAGGACAACTTACACGAGCACTAGGCCTATTGTAGACACCTTGAAAAAAGACAGTCATCTTATTTCATGATTTTATAGGAAGGGGGAAAAAAGGAAAAATAGAATCTCCTGGCATAAAGGTAACACACTTTATACCAGATTTTAAAAGTAAGGGGTTGAAGAGAGAAGCATAGGGACAATTTGAAGACTCGATGCTTCCTGTTCAGGCAGTGTGCAACCTCCATTAGTGTGGCGAGAAACTACAGAGAGGAAGCAAGTGATGGGTTAACAGGGGAAAACTGACTCAATTTAAAAATGGGTGTTTGGTGCCTTTTGGAGTACATCCTTGGTGAATTTCATGTACCTGTCCGAAAGCCAGAAGGAGAATCCTTTATAAAGAAAACAAGTTCATTTTGATCATAGTCATGTAGGTTAATCACCATTGCACCCAAAATGCTTTAGCCACGGCTGTATCAAAATATGGTACAAAAATGGAGAAGGAAATGGTTCCCTGAGGGAGAAGTCAAGCATGGACGTCATCCTTGCTTTATGACCATTCACCTCTGAAGACCTCAGTCATTCCTATGAGAATAACATAACCCACCTGTGATGGTGGAGCTCTTGTTATCTATCTTCCCGCTACGCTCTGCCTCATACAGATAGCCCAGTCCCAACATTGTCATGTGAGGCACCGAAGCTCAGCTTCCTGAGAACTTTGGGGAAAAAAAAATGAAGTCATATAATTCTACCTGTGGTCTGCAAAGTGCGTGTCTTTCTCATAATACAAAACATACTCATTCTATGGCAGTAGTTCTAAAGTCTGAGGTCATTTTAGAAGACGCTCCAAAGTCCAAAGTCGTATTGGAGACTCTGGGGAAACTTAGTTAGGGTTGCTGTGACAAAACACCATGGCCATAAGTAACATGGGGAGGAACAGGTTAATTTCACTCATAGGTCCACAGCACACTGTATCATTGAAGGAAGGCAAGACAGGAACCTGAAGGCAGGAAATGAAGCAGAGGCCATGGAGGAGTGCTGCTTCCTTGCTTGCTCACCAGGGTTTTCTCAGCCTTCTTGTTTCTATCATCCAGGACCATGGTCCCAGGAGTGGCAGAGCCCGTGGTGGGGTGGACACATCCACATCAATAATTAATTAAGAAAAATGTACTCAGGCTTGCCTACAGGGCAATCTGGTGGAAGCACTTTCTTGGTTGAGGCTATCCCTCTTCCCAAATGACTCTAAGTTGTATAGAGTTAACATAAAAGTAGCCAGCACAACACATAATGATGGTTGTTTACTTACAAGTAATGTTGCTCTTAAATGTTGCAACATTATCAGTAAAAAGATTATAAATGTATATCTATAAGATGCTCTACCTCAAGTCTCCATGATCATTTCAGCCTATAACTCTACCATGAAGATATGCCTTTCTTATTTGGTTGGCCCAACATACCTAATACAAGGTTCTTAATTTTCCATAGGTGTATAGCAGATGTAGACTCTGAGGAGAATTCCTGTTGTTGTCTGTCTCTGCAGGTGTTGACCATGCCAGAGTATCTTAGGAAACGGTTCGGTGGGAAGAGACTGCAGATCTACCTTTCTGTCCTCTCCCTCTTCATCATGGTGGCTATCCAAATTTCCGTGAGTTCACTGCCTCCTGACAGCTTAGCTGTAAGAGGTTGCTTGATAGAAAGACAAGATTATAAAATGGGATGTGGTGTTTCAGCAGCCTGGAGCCATGTAGATGCCTTAACTTCCGTCAGCTCTTTCTACAAAGCATTGATAAGATAATGGAGAATTTTAGGACTATTAATAGAAGTATAAACCGTCTAATCCTACTAGCCTTCAGCTATGATGACTCAATATATACAAAGAAAATATTTTCTCATTAAGCAACCTAGAGGACTTACCTTACCTTCTACTTATTCCACTGTATTATATGAACTAGAAATTAAAAATGGGTTAAAAACAGAGACAACCTTATTTAGGTGCTCAATCTATTTTTAAATCCATAGAAATGGGTTCAATTTTGAACTGATTAAATGCTCCATGAAGAGAAGCATGGTAGACTAATTGCGAAACTAAGAGGGGGCGTGTGGCTCTTCATTCTTTGGAGATAAGCAAGGACTGACTGGAATCAGAGTGGTCACAACATTTGCAGATCTATTGGTGTATCTGTGCCAGGGAAAGATTGCTAACTCTGGAATCTTTCTGGGCTAGTTGAATATTTATAAAGTACTGAAAGTTTTACTCATGTACCTTATAAGGTGCCAATGCTTCCATGAGAATTTTTTACATTCTCTTTAGCCATTCTGCAGACATTTTGAGCTCTGTTTTCTCAGTGATAACCCTTTCATTCTCTCTCATGTTAATATTTCAATCCAGGTTAATATTTTCTTTTCACATGAACCAGAAGGGAATTACTTTGCTCAATTATATACTTACTTTTCTCAATTCCACCTTATCCTTTTCCTAAAACTTCCTCTTTAAAATAGACACCACAGTTAAATGTTTCAATAGATTCTTTTTAAGGTGTGTCTTTGGAGATAATTGAAAAGAAAGAAGAAAAAAATTGAAGATTCAGCACTCAGGATAGAATATATGGAAAAAAGTAGTTTGCCCCATGTGCATTTGTGTCTAAAGATATAGTATAAGCTTTATAACCCATTAGGTGTCATAGTTTATATGAGAGAAAGGCTGGCCTTAACCTTTGCTTTTTGTGTGAGGTGAATCATTGTTACCAGCAAATCAGCTGCCAGATTAGGGTAACACAAACTTCTGCTTACAGATGAATGAAATTGTAAGTTATCCTTAGGAAGACAGCACTGAAATAGCTGGCAGAGAAAGACAGTTTGGAGAGAAAAAGGGAAGCCAGTAAGACCAGGGGTGTCAGGAGCCATGTACTTCCATGTTATACAATAAAGGTACCCAGTTCCCCTCCAAGTCTGACAGGTAGAGCTTAGTCTCCAAAGAGCAATGGCTGAAGAATAGCAACTTAAGAAGTCCTCACAGGATGTGCATCCCAAATGGAGGGCTCCTGGTGATGGAAGGGGATGATGGTGTTGGTGAGCCAACTGGAGGTACAAATACAAAGAAGCCAAGAACCTATGTGTTAGACTGTGAAGGATTTGTGGTGAGCCACAGTGATACAACACCAGGAGTCATCTTGCCTGCAAGAGTGTGTCTTAAGTGATATTGGTGATGATCACTTAAGACATGGGTATCTGTGTCCTTGTCCTTTTGCATCTCTGTTGCTGTAATGAAGACCATGACTGTCATGGTTTGGATTTTACTGCTGTGAACAGATTCCATGAGCAAGGCAACTCTTATAAAGGATAGCATTTAATTGGTGCTGGCTTACAGGTTCAGAGGTTCAGTCCATTATCATCAAGGCAGGAACATAGCAGCATCCAGGTAGGCATGGTGCAGGAGCCAAGGGTTCTACATCTTGTTCCAAAGGCAAACAGAAGACTGGCTCCCATGTGGGTAGGAGAAGGGCCTCAAAGCCCACCCCCACAGTGACACACTTCCTTCAACAAGCCTACACCCACTCCAACAAGGCCACACCTCCTAATAGTTCCACTCCCTGGGCAAAGCATATTCAATCCACCACAATGACCTGAAGCAATTTGAAGAGGAGAGTGCTTGTTTCACCTTACAGCTTATAGGGCTTCATGAAGGGAAGTCTGTTCGGGACCTCCAGAGGCAGGAAATGAAGCAGACACTGTGGAAGAATGCTGCTCATTTGCTTGCTTTCTATTGCTTGTTCAGGTTTTAGGGGTTTTTGTGTGTGTGTGTTTTTTTTATTTGTTTGTTTATTGTTGTGTGTTTTGTTTTTTGGTTTGGTTTGTCTTGGTTTGGTTTTGGTTTGGTTGTCCTGGTCCTCACTCTGTAGATCAGGCTAGCCTCAAACTCAGAGATCCTCTGCCTCAACAGTGCTGGTATTAAAGGCATGTGTTACCACCACCTGGCTTCAGTTTAATTCCTTATCCTACCGAGGATCACCTGCCCCGGAGTGGTACTGTCCATAAGTGGGCTAAACCCTCCCATATTAACCATTAATGAAGAAAATTCTCTCTACAGACCTTCTGATGCCAATCTGGTGGCAACCATCTCTCAGTTAAGCTTCCTACTTCCCAGATCACTCATAGCAACAGAATCTAGCCAGCACAGTACTTTTACACTGTGAGAACAGATTTGTGCTGGGTTGTTGTTACTCTGTATAGAAGAGATGACACTATTGTCTGAGATTCACCTTACTTGGGTTGCTTTAAAAACAGTCACTTGTTTGTTTTTTTTTTTTACCTCCAATAATATACATATAGTTAGTTGTAGATGTGACTTAATTCCTCAATGCTTTAGTTTGTATTTACTAACAACTGTTATCTAACTTGTAGCCCCAATAACCAATAATTGCTTACAAACTATCATTTGGAGCAAAAAATATTTTTCAACTCTGGCATTAATCTTCCACATAGGAAGTAGTTTCTGATCATTATGATACAATCTATGCCTTGCATTTTGTTCCTAAAATTGTTCAAATATGAACTTTTATGCTGGGTATATTTAATAACAGTAAAATAGTTATTGATACATAGGCCAACAATGCATAATTTCAGGATCATAAGTGCAATGCTTTAATTGTACTATAAAATAGAAAAAAAACAATAAATTTATAGCATAATTTTTCTTTTTTAAACATCTTAATTGATACACAAACACTACACTCTGTGTATTTTGATGCCATATAAAAGCACAATAAAACCAGGGTGATTAGTGTAATCAGCATATGAATATATATCATTTCTATAATGTTTTTAATAATATATATATATGTTCTATAATATGTTCTATAAAAGTTTTTACATCCCTTTTTCTAACAGCTTTGACATGCAACACGAAGAATAGTTCAACACTCAATCCTGCTGTAATGTAGAACACTAGAACTTAGAGTTTTTCATGCCCACTCCTATCTCTCTATTGTTTCTACCCATTCATCTTTCTAGCCTTTGCTAACCACTATTCCAACCTCCTCACCTATGAGATCAACCAATTTAACATCCACTTATGGGTAAGAACACTTTCTAGATGTTTTCTGTGCCTGGCCTGTTTCAATACTGTATTGGCTCACTGTCCTTTCAAATGTTTCCTTTATGTACTTCAAGATTTCTTGTGACTGGGTAGATAATTCATTATTCACAAGGACCACATTCCCTTTTCCTATTTCCCTAGATGTGGACATTTAGGTTTGTTCTCTGTGTTTATTGGTGTGGGTAAGGCAACAATAAACAGGGTGCAGATTTCTCTTCAGTTCAGTAATTTATATTTATGCATACATAAAATTGTAGGGTTGCTATATTGTCGTGGAGTTCTAGATTCAGTCATTTCATTACATTTATCTTTCAAACTAGCTTACAAATGACCAGGTTTCTATATAGTTTTCATACATACCCCATGTCGGGTGATTCTCTCTTGCTCAGCTCCTCTTACCTCCCAGTTTCTCTTTCCCTTTCTAAATTCTTCTCTCTTCTTGCCCAGATCCTCCTCTTTAAAAAAAAAAAATCACTTTCTCCACAGTCACACAGCCTCTGTCTAGTTTCCTGATCTTTACCCAGATAGGCATCTTTAAGAGTCGCATAGTGCAGTCGGCATCTCAGGTAGGATATGTGGTGTTTGTCTTTCTTGGGCTGAGTTGATCCACTTAAAATAGTTTCATCTAAGCTCTTGGAAATTTCACAGTTTGCTTTAGTTTCATTTTTTAGTCATCTGTGGATACACTTGTAGGCTCACCCTGTTTCCTATGGTTGTGAACTGAGCATCCATGAACATGCAGATGTTCATGTGTGGTGTCTAAGACATGATGGAGTCCTTAACAGATATGCCTGGTTATGGCACAGTGGGGTTGTGTGGCAGTTCTGTTCTCAGTTCTTTGAGAAGACTCCATGCTGAGCTCCATAGCAGTTGTCCTGGTTACACTCCCAGCAACAGTGAATAAAGATTCCTCCTGCCGTGGTCTACCTGCATTTGTTGCCTTCTGTGTTTGGCTGATGAAAACCCTTCTGAGGTGGAATTTCAGATTAGCTCTAATTTGCCTTTCTCTGATGGATAGAGACATTGAACACCTTAAAATACTCACTAGCCATTTGAAGGTCTTCTTTTTTTTTTTTTTGAGATCTCTCTGCTGGTAATGTTGTCCCAGTTATTAATTAGAATTTCCTTGTCTGGTATTTAATTCTTTCAGCGTTTATGTGATGTTAAGCCTTTCACTGAAGTATGCCTGGCAAAGTTCCCTCCTGTTCTGCGAGCTGTCTCCTCGGTGGATAGTTTCTTGCAGTACAAAAGCTATTTAATTTTATGTAACCCCATTTGTCAATTCTTGTATTGATTCCTTCGTGACTGACATTCAAGTTTGCAGCCTGTACTTACATCCTGAAATGTTTCCATTAGAATTCCAGGGTTTTCAGGGTTTTTTTCTTCTTCTTCTTCTTAAAAATATATGTATTAACTCTTTGAAAACTTCAGACATACAATGTTTTCCCAACTCCTCCCAGATGCATTTCTGGTTTTAAATCAAGGTCTTTGATCCAATTCGAGTTGACGTGTGTCTTGTGTAAGAGATACAGATTTATTTTCATTCCTCT